CGATGCAGAGGAGTGCTTAATCTTTAGCATATCTTCGCGGAAGGGGGATTGGGGCAGATTCCCTACTACCCAAAGGTAAGAACATTGACAGTCTGGGCCTTGGGATTTTCAGCTCAACCACCCTAAACCCTAAACCCTAAACAGTGCCTTGCGGCCAGGCCAAAAGGCGATGGGAGCACTGCAGGCCGAAACATTGCCCGAACCAAGGGGCCTTCATTCTTGGAAGCGCGCTTTCGGGCATACAAAGCTAAGGAGAATAATTTGTGGCAACGCCTGTAAACCATATCAAACCTTTTCCCCGTTCCCATGTGTTACCGCAGGCCTCACCGAACTGGTCTTGTCCCACCCAACATTTGCGACATTACGAAGCCTTTATGTAGTCTCAACTCCTTTTCAGGAAACAAGGATATGGTTGTAAGAAGCCCTACAGCCAAAAAGATGCATACAGTCCTCGGGTATACTTGTTTCGGCACTTCGGGCCTCGAGGTTTGGGCTCCCAAACCGGACCTGGCTACAACCCTGCAGCCCCCGACCGGTCCAGAATCTGAGGTTTAGGGGAAGTTGCGATGAGGCCTGAAGCCCTGCAAAGCTACCGTAAGCCTTGACGGTCCAGAGGACTTTTCAGCCATGTGAACCCTGCCAGATACAAATCCGTGAGGCTGAACCTCCAGAGCTTCGTGTGGCACCGCCTGGCAAACTTGTCAACTACTTTGTTTTGTCGACTTCTTGTACTGTAGAGGTATACTGGTAAGTATATTTGTTCCTGAATACGTCTTGGTGCGCTAGAACTACCATGCAGACAAGCCCCAAAGCCTTTCAGGGCTCCATAGCGCCTCGAGAGGGGACAGCTGAGTTTCAGAGGAGGCGGAGATCGAGGCCCCGTGCTGTTTCTGGGTTTGCGGCATCCTCGAAAGCAGCCCAGTAACTGGAGACTGCTGTTAAGGAATTTGGAGGCTTTGAGGGGATTGTGGGATTCAGGGTACAGGTGTTTGAAGGTAGGGGCAAGATGTATCAAGTTCAGAGCCTTGTGCACTGGCTTGAGGCTCAATGTGGCTCCTGCGCTGTCGATTGGAAGATTCCCGAACCCTCGAGTTCAAAAGTTCCGATCCACAGCAAAAGGGGGAGACATTCTGGCAGTCCAGGTTTCAACAGAGTACTTTCTAGGTTTTCGGGATATATCGGGGCCGGACACGCTACCTGTTTGATGGTCGCATCTGTGAACCTGCCATGCGCATTGGACGCCATCATCCGGAAACGATACAATCTAAACCGCCATCGAGTCCCGAACCCCAAACCCCACAGCCCCAAAGCTCAATAGGCCTGCTTCCTGCTCAAGTTTCAATCTGCCAACATCATGCCGCAGCCTGCATCATTCCACCTTTGGGATTTCGCTGTTTGGTTTACACAGGTTAGCCCATGTGAAGATGTCAGCACGTGGGGTCCATCCATGTTGGTGTCCTTTATGGTCACGATTACCCCGATTTCCGCACCCTGAATCCTAAGCCCGGGGCGGTTTGTTCGGGAATTGAGCAGGGCCCTCGCAGGTGCCTCGAGAACGACGATCCAGTGCGGTTTGGCCTCATGACTTTCGAGTCTGTGGTTTAGGCTTTAGGCACGGCCTCGGCAAGTTTCACCGTTGATCTCTTAGGAAGCGCAAAAACTGTGCTTTTATTATCGGGTTCAGGATTCTCGGCAGCACGCCTACGCCTTCGTCCCTTGACCTGCGCCCTACACTGAAGTAGTCACGACCTCTGAACCCGAGGAGACCCACACCTTAGACCGTCGAAATGTTCAGGCTAGGACCAATTACGGCCCATCTTGTTTTCATTCACTTTGATTGAAATCGGAGTCGGGAGGTGGTTGACCAGATGTCTGATGCAGAAGGAGGCCAATCTACAAAAGCAGAAGCTCATGTGTGGAAGAGGACGGTCTCGCGACTGCGGTGGCGGTTACGTGTGGTGTTGTTGGTGGTGATCTCGGTAAAATGCAGACATGGCCGTGATATGCGGTGTTGATAAACATGGTGACGATGGCGACGATTCAAAAGGAAGTCAGTGTCACTCCACATCGGAGACATTTCAAGAAAGGTTTTTGTAAACCGGAAGCCTTTTTTATTCATTGGACTACAGACCTACACCGTTTAAGCCCCACATCTTCAACCCCTGTGTAGATTCCCCATGCCTTAAAACCTTCGAGCTTGCAGCGCTATGCCGTACAACCCTGAATCTTCTAGGCCATGCCCGTCGAAACGGATGGGGGTCAATGCATGCGGGCTCAAGCGGCATCTATATATACATCTTTCTAAAGTTGCAGGGAGAGACTGCAGGCGCCCTCAAACTAGCAAGGGCTTGAGGGGCCTGAAAAGGCTTTAGCTTCCAGGCGTAGAATCGCTGGCGAGGTGAATTGTGGCTTACCCCTTAAACCCGAAACCCTGGACGATAACCCCTAAACCTGTGAGGATTCATCTGCTATGCATGTAGTGCGTGTAGTTGTAACATCAAGATGGGAACGGTGCAAGCAGCAGCAGCTGCTGCCAGTTTTCCAGTGGCAGTTGGTCTCTTCGGCATTTACTCACTATGTGTGCTCTTCAATCTGGAAACCCTAACCCTTGAGCGACTCAAACCCCAAGATGCCGCCTTGGATAGGCCCGCTATACAGGGTCGCGTGCAGAAGAGGCAAGGAGAGACCTTGCGATGGTGAGGTGTCGGCGAAAAAAGATGTGAGCGATAAGGGTGCAGGCAAGTGGGCTTTTGGGTCCGTAAGTCTCCTGACACTGGACGACTGCCCCGGAAGCCTCAATCTCCAGATGTAGTCTGACTCGGGTGGTCTCCGAACGACCCTTAGAGTGTGCAGCGCATTGCAAGGAGAGGGTGCAGTATTCGCATGCGACGGTGCGAAGCGTATCGCGGTAAGTCGTGGCTACTAGGCTCAACTTTTGAGGGTTTTGAGTCTGGTTGGGGGGGATTCTCTTCTTCAGCGCTGCCCCAAGACCACCAAACGCCCCAAAACGCAAAACACGAACGCTTGCGGATGACCTGGAAGATCGTGAGCTCAAGCCTTTAGACTTTAGGGCCTATTTTCAGGGTTCAGGGTTCAGGGTTATTTAGGGTTTAGGGTTTTGTAGAGCTCAGGGTTATTAGACGATTAGATTGTTTCACTGTCAGCGTCGCCGTCCTTAGCACATCGCCCGCAACCTTGTGGTTCCAAAATACGGGCAGCTTTGATTTTCAGGGTTCTTAGTCGTGGCGAACTTCTTTGTGGATTCAGAAACGGACCCTGCCCTCCATGTCCCAAGTCAACGGAGCATTACATGAACCCTTTTGCCGCTACTTCTTGCCTTCCTTCGCTCGGGACTCGAAACTCTGCGCCTTAAGAGCTCTTGAAGTTTAGGCTTCTGCCTCAACCTACTAAGCAAATTTCACATGGGCCTTCATATGAGGTCCCTGCAAAAAGTAGGTTCTGGACCCCAAACCCTGGACCCAGTACTGCCGAAGCCTTGAACCAAAGCTCTAAAGCAGGCCGCCCACCACAAACCAATAAACCTGAGACATGTTGAAGTCCTGCAAACTGCGCTCTCACCTCTTAACTTTATATAACACAGCTCCCTCCCCACAAGCTCTGAATTTCAATTCAACAAAACCCTAAAGCCCGAAGCCCTAAACCCGAAACCCTGGAAGAAACCCCAACCCCCCTAAAAAATCCTCTCCGACACCTTAATCCTTCAATGTCCGGCTCCGACGCTGGGGCTCGTTAGAATCGGCAGGGTGTTGTAGGGCTTTTGTGGAGCTTAGGGTTCGGATTCGAAATTCAGGAGGTTTCGGCGGTTCAGAGATTTCGGGTTTAGGGCTTATAGAGTTTGGGGTTTAGGGTCTAACGTTCTGTAGGCCGTTTACAGTGGGTTGCAGGTTGAAAAGGTGCTTAGGCCGCAAAGATGTGCAGCACGACGGTCGCAGGGCGGCAGGCCCGGGCTGTTGCCGTGGTTTCGACTGCTGGTCTGTAATATGGGAGTTTCCGAAAATTAGGGGTACCTTATTTTGGGGTCCCTCTAATAAGGATCCTACTACTTGGGGTACTATATATTAGGGTCCCCTATTTTCGGAACCTCCCATATCCCGTATAGTCACCTCAGCAGTAACGCTGATCTTGCGAAGGGTCTTCTTTTCGAGTAATCATCTTCAGGACTGGCGGTGCAGATCAAGGCTGGGGATTCTGGTCGGTTTCTGGTTTCGGGCTTTCGGGTTTTCTTTACATGGCGTTGGCTTGCAGGGAATAAAGTAAGTTAGTCGGGTGTTAAGGTTTAGGGCTCGTCCTTGTTCGGATCTCGCAACCGTAACCGGACCTCTGTGATCTCTTTGAGCTAAAACCCCTTGACTTCTATTCCTGAGCCGGCAACCCTGACTGTCACCTGCTCTTGAATGTCAAGACACAACCCCGGCACGAGTAAAACAGGAACTGGATTTGCGAAACGGAAGGTTGTAATATGGTAATCGCAGTCCTTCAAGGCGAGATTTCAGTTCCCTCTAGGAAAGTGTTGTAAGTATAGGGTCTTTCGGATCCGGAAAGCTCTGATCGCCTTTGTGTTCCCCGCATTCTGAAGTTTGAAGACTCCGAAGCAAAGTCCCAAATCCGAAGACACCCGCTCACGCGCATTTTCTTACAGGTTGTAGTATGAACATCCTTCTTGAATCCCAGCAAAGAGACCTTTAAAGTCCATAAGCCCGAAACTTAGACTGAAATGGAGCCCACGCAGCCTGTTGCCTCCTTCCTCTCAAGTTTGCAGCCGGCAGCTCCCAAACCAGAAAAGGAACCCTACACCCCACTATCGCTAAATCCCAAGGCCCTCAAACCCCACCCCGTGCCGCAGATCTGGATTCTCGTTAATGTCCCGTGGGGTTTAAGAGAAGTACCTATTCCACGATAAATCTTGGCATGGACCTTCAAAACTACGGCAATCCCTGAACCCTAGACCGAATTCCACACAAAAGCGCTCGTTGGGTGCAATGGCGGATGCTGGGAAACCGGAGCCGGGTCTCCGCGAGTGGGTGACCCTTGTCAGCCGGGGTGCTTTAGTGCTCTAAAGAATGTGTTGGCTTATCTTTATTTCTTTGAAAAAAACTACCAGGGCATGTGATTTGGAACATGCTTTTGTTATGGTTCTAAGGGCGCTTCAGGATAAGGCAGTCGAGCACCAAGGACCCAGTAATTTGGTTCTTGGGTTTAGGATCGCACTTGGTAGCAATGTACCCTAAACCCCGAACCCTGATGGAGGTTGGCCGAAGGCTCAAGTCTGGGGTTTAGCTGCGGGTGTGGAGTCCAGGGTTCAGGAGGTCGCAGTTTCTTTTGTAAAGTTGGGGATTTAGAGTGTGGGATTTGGAACCGGGGAATCCCAAACTTTTATCACCCGTTGCTGAAGGGAGAGTACATGCTTTACGCCACATAGAGAGGGTGATTTTTGTTAGAAAGTTGTGCCGCAAGTACGGGTTATTAGGTTTTCTGCGGAGTTGCCAGTCATTGATGGTTGACTATATGCGGTTTAGGATGCCTATGGATTTTGGGGCTCAGGGTCTTGGAGTGTAGAGCAATATCCACGGGAGGGATAAGTGTCATATGGTGTTTCGGGTGAAGAGGCTCGAGTGCAGGGTGTGTGCTGAATAGTTCCTTACGGAACTTGGCCTGAACTCTATAGGTTGTTTTTTTCTGAACTGAGAAAATTCCTCGCTCGTGGTGTATCGAGTAGAGAGTGTTTCGCGAGGAACTTGACATCTGTCTCGAAGTGTGAGGCCAAAGGACTCGCGTTTAGGGACTATAGGGGGCGCTAACCGGCTGCAAGGTCGAGCGCTCCCGAATTCCGACGCTCCTCCTCAGCTGGAATGTCCACCTTCCTTAAATCTCAAACCCAAAGCCGACGCCCTGGAAGCAACTCGTGCATGAAATCTGGCCCTCAGCCCTAAACGCACAAAGCACCTCGGCAGCTCATTGAAACGTCTCTCCTTGGCATCCTAGGACGGTTATCAACGGCAGCATTGTGACATGGATCAGAGCAAGATGTCCTTTCTTGGCGTGCTTCCGGATTTCAGAGCTAGGCGTTCTGGATTTGTTGTAGGCTTTAGTCGCGCAAATGCCTAGATAGTTAGTACCAGTCTTTTCGAGTCTTTTCTTGGGTTCCGGAATATGTCCATAGCAAAAGCCGCCCCCAAAGCCTATCTATCCAAACTTCTACATTGGCTCTTATGCCGAGATTGTGCTTGTCGGGGTGAACAGATACATCAACCTGCATCATGAATTTCATGGAGCAGCAAATTATGAGGACGTGCTACAAGACCGTATATAAGGTCTTGTAGGTTAGTGGAGGGAGGGCGGAAGTTTGTGGTGTTGTATAAACCTTCATCGAGAATATAGAGGGGCCTATTGCGAGACAGCGGGTTCTTGTAGGTTTGTTTACGCCAGGGATGATCGAGGTCTAAAAGGTGCATAGTTGCAGGACCCCGCGTTTGGGTCTGCTGGAGCACAGCTGCTTTAAGCTTGAAGTGTTTCCTGGCTTTGGGAGTTCAGGGTTCCATTACACTGTCATGACTCATTATGATGTCAAGGTAAGATGAGACGTAGGGAGATGGGAATCACTCTGGTTTGACCGTGAGAACAGTTAGGGTTGGTGGATTAGGGATTCCAAACTAACTGTTTTCAAACTCAGGTGACGTTCTTCTTCACCTTCTTCTTCTATGGCTGGGCGTCCTTGCAAGCTCTCCTTGAAGCAGACGGCGTGTACTTGGCGGTCTGCGCACCAGAGGCGCGAGCACCAGAGCTGTGGCCGAAACTCCTAAGACCAGTGGTATCTCAGACAGTGACCATATCGTAAAGGCCATGGTTTGCTCTGACAGCTAAGATGAGTTTACCGCATATAAGTGACATAGATTAATAGACTAAGGTGAGCTATAGAAGCAAGCATGTGCAATCACTAACTAAAAAACCGGTGTGTGTGTATATATATATATGTATTATATGTACAGATAGGCACATACACACACGCACGCACGCACGCACGCACGCACGCACGCACGCACGCACGCACGCACGCACGCACGCACGCACGCACGCACGCACGCACGCACGCACGCACGCACGCACGCACGCACGCACGCACGCACGCACGCACGCACACGCACGCACGCACGCACGCACGCACGCACGCACGCACGCACGCACGCACGCACGCACGCACGCACGCACGCACGCACGCACGCACGCACGCACTCACGCACGCACGCACGCACGCACGCACGCACGCACGCACGCACGCACGCACGCACGCACGCACGCACGCACGCACGCCCGCACGCACGCACGCACGCACGCACGCACGCACGCACGCACGCACGCACGCACGCACGCACGCACGCACGCACGCACGCACGCACACACGCACACACCCACACACACACACACACACACACACACACACACACACACACACACACACACACACACACACACACACACACACACACACACACACACACACACACACACACACACACACACACACACACACACACACACACACACACACACACACACACACACACACACACACACACACACACACACACACACACACACACACACACACACACACACACACACACACACACACACACACACACACACACACACACACACACACACACACACACACACACATCAGACAGATAGACCGACAGATAGTTAGTTAGTCACTGCCTTGGACAGTTAGCCAGGCAGTAAACTAGCTAGATGGATGCATGTATGCATGTATGCATGTATGCATGTATGCATGGATGCATGGATGCATGGATGCATGGATGCATGGATGCATGGATGCATGGATGCATGGATGCATGGATGCATGGATGCATGGATGCATGGATGCATGGATGCATGGATGGATGGATGGATGGATGGATGGATCCATGGATGGATGGATCGGTAGATGGATACACAGGCAGCTAGGCAGGTTTGCAGATATGTAGTCAAGTAGCTAGTTAGTCAGTTATTCGGCTCGTTAACAGTCTTTTTGTTTACTTTGTTTGACCGTTTCTTTCTGCAGTTAGGCAGTCAGCTACCTTTCTAGTTAATTTGTTGGCTGGGTGGGCAAAGAGGTAGGCAAGCATGCAGGCAGACAGGTAGGCGAGTAGTTCGGTAGGTGGGTAGGAGGTAGATAAGTAGATCGACAGATCCGCAGATGCACAGATCTAGGTAGAAAGACATAGGTATGAAGCAGACACGCACACATTTCCTATTCGTCTTCCTGGAGCTTGAGGCTTGAACACCCCACCAAAACCTTAAGCCAAAGCCCTAAAGTCCTAAAGACAAAATTCCCCCAGATCCGTAAAGGTCCGAAAGCCCGAACTAGCCTGCACCCGGTTTGTGCAACTTAATGAGCGCAAGGTTCAGGGAGTATGGCTTCAGGGATTCAGGCTGGACGGTTGAAGCGGAAACAGCCAGCCAAGATTCAAGCGAAAGCGCCTTTGACAGGAACCATTGTGTTCCGAACGGACCAGCCGCATGATTCTGCTCTACACGGTGGACAACCTCGTCATCTGGCCATGCAGAATATTGAACCCGACGCTACACCACACGTCCCAGACCCCTAATCCTCACCCACCCCAAACCCTTCACCCGATCTCCAAGCCTTCAGAAGTCTTCTGACACCCTCTTCGTCATCAAAGCCTAAAGCCCTAAATCCGAGAACCGCAAACACTCTAAAGCCATCTAAAGCCCTGAAACCTCATCCCGGAATCCCAGACCTGTTTGGCTGCTTGGGTTTAAGATGGTAGCACATGTATTGGCTTTGGGTGTAGGCTTAGTATTTGGGAGAGTACATGATGACGGGTATTTCGACTCTTCGGGCAAGGCAATGTCGCTCCAGATCCCTAAGCTCAAGCTTCAAAACCTACATGAGCCCCTTAAACCCCGACCCCCAAACCCAAACCCTAACCCAAACTCCTCAACCCTGAGCTCCAAACATTTAGCACCAAGCTCTGAGTCCTCGAAATGTCAAGCTCTTATGAGCCCTTTTGGGGGCACTTCTCGAACCTATGGGTTCATATTGCCGTTTTGGTGAGTGCAAGCAGGGCTCTGCAATAGTTTTGGCGAGTGTATGTTTGCTCTGAGGGTTCATGAGAAGGAGACTAAAAATAAGCATGCTGCTTCACCTGAGTTTATAGCCCAATCCCTGTCGCAGCAATATTTGAAGCCCTGAGGTCACGGAGCCTAAGCGAAACCCTAGACTTGGAACCCACATGGGGGTCTTACCATGCACCGGGTTGTAACTCCTCGCTCTTTTCGTGACTGCATTGGAACCCTTCAGGTCACGGTCGTCACCTCCGCGGTCGTTGCGATGGCGATAGATCGCGTAGGGCCCGCTAAGCTGGCGTTGCTTGGAGGCCTTCTGCAGGCAAGCGCTCTGCTCCTGATGGCTTTGTCCGAAGGGTACCATGGCTGAGGAGCATGCTCTGCAGGGGTTTTGAGGTCTATGCTGCTTTTGTTGTAATTATGTGGGCCCTGCGCTACACAAAAAGGAAGGAGGCTGGGGTAGCTTTGTGGGGGCTTTGCGGTTCTTCATTTCATGTTCAAGCACGGGATGGTGCGTAGTACAAAGTGGGGGCTAGTTCAACTAGAGCCTTCTGAGAATCCTGAAAAGGGGTTTCGGGGGAGGCTTGGAACCCGATGCTAACCCTTCCGCCCTAAACGCGGAACATGAGGTTTACGTGCCGGTTCAACAAGCCAAAACAAAAGGAAATCGCCCACCGTCGCCAAAACTGCCCCGTGACTAAACTCTACAAGCCTTCTGCCTAAACCGGCCTACCGTCCCGAGCGACAGCAACCTCTAGGTCTGCCTCTTCGCCCTTTGACGGCTTTCTCGTGGCTTTTGCACTGAGTGGCGTAGGCGGCGCGACACTGATGGCCCTCTGGCAGACAGAAGGGCATACTTTAGATTGTAATTCTGTTTCAACCTATTGGAGCCTTACCTGATGTAACTCGACCACGATGCATACCCATCGCAAGCCAGGTACCTCCAAGATGTTGGCAAAAGCTATTTTACCAAGAAGGAGTTCAAACACCCAGTCCCCGTAAAGTGTTTGTAATTGCAAGCTATCCTTCCTGACACCAAAAGTTCCCATGTAATCGTGTTGTTGGGGTGAGATAGGGTAACCTCTAACCGTAGCCCCGAAACCCAGAGCCCTAACGGGTATGGGCAGAGGGCACCATTCGGCAGGGAGGCAGGAATAGGGTTTGGCTTATTTGGTGTAGGTTGCTGTGGTAATATAGAAGCCTGAATCATGGGTAAAACAGAATTCCCTTGGTTCCTTACTGTAAATAAAACTAACTACCACAACCCTGAACCCTCAACCCCTAAACCCAAAACCCCAAAACTCCAGGGGTTGAGGCCTGGACCGACTACAGACTCCAAGGCGATCTCCCAGTAGAGGCTGAAGCCTAGGCCCAAGACCCTCCACCCGAAGCATGCCCAACAAGGGGGGGCGGAATAGATTCGCAGTATTATTGTTTCGGGTTCTTTAATTAGTACACTGACATGTGTGTAGCATAATATGCCCCAAAACCCCATCCAGGCCCTGATAGTTTGCTAAGCAGCGGAAACTTGAACGTCCACAGCTGTAATACAGCTTCCAACCATCAGCACTCAACCCTTAAACCCTACATCCAGAAGCAAAGTCCACCTCCACCGACAAAGAGAGATCCTCCCCAGATCTCGAACATGAAGCTGGCCTTCGCAGTGCAGCCCCGGCAGCGGGCCTTGACATTTATGGGGCTGTGGGTTCAGGGTTTAGGGGGCTATAAGAAGGAGCGGGGTTTCCTTTCCCCTGAACCCGAAAGGGGTTTTGGAGGGACCGTTTTACCAGAATACCACAGAATCCCAGGGATCCCGAGGGCTTTGGAGTTTGGGGCTTCTGGGCTTTTGGGGTTCACAAGGGTCCTTTCAGGTACGGTATTTGCCTAGCTTGTGAGTGTATGCAGGGCTCCTTTGGGAATCTTGTTCAGTGCATGTGTTGGGTGCTATTTGGGATTTGAGAAGTGCTGCGTGGTCCCGGTGTCTCTTCTCGAGGAGTTGTCCGGCCCTGTGCCCCACAACTCGCTCCGTTCATTGAAGCTAATACTCGCCCCGTATATACAGAATGAAGAAAGACAGTGGAAGAATTTCCCAGGTATTTCGCCATGGTGATGACGACCATCAACTGCCTTATAGACTCCTCTGCCGTCACTCCGTTGGGGCTCCTTTTCCTGAATCTCCGGTTGATGGGTTAGAGTGTTTGGGGGTTTTAGTAGCGCATGTAGGGTTTCGGGTTTGAGTGTGGGTTTTGGTTTCAGGTTTTGAGCGCTTTGAAATCAAACTCCGGGGCTTTAAGACCCACGGTGTAGTCAAGGATTTGCTGTTTGTCCTGACGGGTCGAAGTTGATTCTCAGCAGTATGTTCTGAAAGACTGGTCGTCTGCGACAAAAATTCCTTAGCATATAAATTCAGATGAAAACTCTTAACTGTAACAAGGTATGTAAGCTGTCTTCAACTTACAGGTAATCTGCAAAACTGCCGGGGCCTTGTTCTGGAGTTTTTTGGCTTGTACTTGGAGATCCAGTCTGTGGCATCGTCCCCTCATGCGAATATCAGGACCCTGAAGACTGAATGATGGGGGCAACTGCATCCCCATATAGTCCGTGCATTTCGCTACTCTAGCTCATTCGGTTTGTCGGCATCTTGCATTCTAGCTTACTTTCGTCTAGGCTGCTTTCTCCTTCCCGAAACGCCTTCTCATGGCAGAAGCATTGCTGCAATCAAAGCTTATGCCGCCTTTAAGCACGGCAGAGGCCCTTCAGGGGACTTTGGTTACCTGGGGAGAAGTACATAGGCCTTCTCTCATTGTGAACAGCCTTTGCAGGAAACTCGGCCTACGGCCAACGCTCTTGTCATGAGCCTTACCTATACTTGCAGGGCCAATGAGTGGAACTCCGGGAACGAGGAGCTTAAACACAGCACACACCAGAGCTTCCTTTATCGAGGCTTTACCGCCTCTACTTGCTTGGCCTCTCGCGCTTCAGCATCTTCGCAGGCGAGGGGTGACCATAACTCAGGGTATAGGGTTCAAGAGGCTTTAGGGTAGCTGTGTGTCGCACTAGTGTGACTGCTTGCCATGTGTATCATGAAAGAAGTGCGATGTAGCAGGTTTAGCTGTCAGACTTTCAGAGATGGAAGAGTCCTCGTTTTCTTGTGGGTTTGTTCTTGCTACTACCATTGTACCTTTGTCCCTACCTTCATGTTTGGGCACCAGTAGCTTCGTTTTTGATGAATTTCTGGGTCGTATTTGCTCAGTTGAGCATGAAGTTCCAGACGTTGACACCAGTGCCTGGAAATGGGGTTCAGAGTGTATATAGTCTATAGTGGTGTGAGTCTGAATGGTGAGCACTAGCCCTCTAGATTTCGTACAAATGTGGGTTCGAATATCCAACGAAAGCCTCGTTATCCAGGTTTTCCTGTTGGGACTTCACGCAGTTTAGTGTCGAGAGCTTCATGTAAGCTTGTCTTGTGGGCTTCTGATTTCTGGCCGGAATCCCAAGGCGTTTAAAGCTCTGGCCATGTATGGGTTCCAAGGGTTTATAGGCATTTGTGTAGGGTTTAGAGTCTATTGCCTGGCTTTTGGGAGTTGGGGGCGTCATAAGCCCACCTCGTAGTTTGACGATGTGTTCCCGAGGCTATGCTCTGGCATGCCTCGTGCTGTCCGTGTCCCTGGGCTTTTGCTGGTCCGGGAGCCCCATGAGAATCCTGAAACTTGGATCTCAAATATCCAGCCTTGGCTTTAAAGGGCTTGGCGTCCCCGTCGGCCCTTTCAGCCCCAATGAGGGCTTTTATTATCCCAGAAATCCTTACCCTAGAACCGAAGCCTCAATCTCCATAGTAAGTGCGCAAGTCAGGAAAGCGAAGAGCGCGGAGGAGCTGAAGTCGGCAGAGCAGACTGAAGCAAAGGAGGCTCGCAGCAGGGTTCGGGTTTCGGGGTTTAGGCTTTGGGGTTTAGGGTTTAAGGCTTGCGGCTAGAGTCTACAGGGTCTAGGGGCGTATGGGTAACATAGCACATAGACCAACTAACACACATGGCAGACCCCCAGCCGGTCCCAGATTGTCAACCAGTAAGAAATTGACGCTAGATCCGAAACCCCAAGTCCTGACTTGGTCCTGAAGCACCTCGCCATCACGCGACACGTCAAGGATGCGCAATGCCAAGCGGAGTATAGCCTTACAGCGTCTTTAGATGACGATCGCGGTTTACGAAACTCTCTTGCTTCGGAAAGCATTTTCTCGGTAGATGTCGGTTCGCTACATAGCACCAGAATTATGCAAAGCAGCTTGAAGCAAAGCTTCTGGGCGAGTCTGATGCGGTTATAATATGAGGAATACGGGCCGTATAGCGACCGAAAACCGCAGGGGGAAGAGAGTCCCGGCTCGACGCGACCGCGGCTGCACGGTCTTTCGGTGAGGGAGCAGGCACACAGTTGTGGGGCTGTAACTGCGGCTTAGGGCTTATAGGGTGTAAGCGCTTTACGTGGTCATCTGTACTGACGCTTAGCCACAAGGACATCAAGTCTCAGCGCAACGCTGATTTGACGGATTGTCTGGCAATGTCGCAGGGATCACTCAACGCATCAAGGAAGGGAAAACTCGAAGCCCTTAAACCCTCAAACCTTGATCCCTATGGTTCACAGGGGGGGACTGGGGACTTGGTTTTGACTTTCAGACAAGATTCTGTGAAAGCAAAACATCTCGATGGTCTCCGCATGCAGGCTTCTTCATGTCCGGATGGCTTGAATGAAAGCTTTAAGCCGAACGAGCCTCAGAAAAGTAAGGGACCACAGTATAGACCCTAGATGCGTAGGAGGATCCTGTGTGGACAAACGAGCCCAGACTTCCAAGAACTCCTGAACACTAAGCCTGAAACCCTAAACCCGAGACCTTGGCCCGAAACCCCCTTTGCCCAAGTTTTGTAAAGCGGCATCTTCTCGGCACAGAATGGGCTTCAACCCAACGTCCCAGGCATTTAAAAGAGGCTTTCTTTTGGCCCTTACCCTGGCGTTTCGATCAGTTCAGGATCTTAGGGCTTGAAAAGTTCGGTCTAGTACGAATCTGTTTTCAGGGTGTGCCACGGGAACTCATAGGATCCTCAGGGTGTACATCCAGGCGCAAGCCAAGCAATCCGGTTTATGGGGTTCCGGCTTCGGGTTTGTAACCTATAACTTCTAATAGTCGAATGTAGTATGTCATTCTGTCCTCAGACTAGGAAACTTGTTTTCAGCTTTCTGCCTGTTGGCATTACGACTATGACTCCAGCTGTTTGTTCTTGAAGGTCCATTCCCTGGAGTTCGCCTTCGGGGGCGTATTCCTGACGACGCAGCTGTCCCTTCGTCCTTTTTCGGCCTGGGTGGTTCGTGGTTCGAGAAGTGTCCACGACACATGGCTAATGAATTCTACCGAAATTGAAATGGAACCTACGGTGAATGAGGCAACGAAAATGGAGAGCCTACAGAAAGAGGGGAATGTGATTGTAGGTCAGGGCAGCAGGGTGTGACCAGGTTGCAGAAGATGTACAGATGCGTGCTCCCATGTCTTTCTAAAGTTGGCAGCATGGAATAGAGGATGTTTTAGGTGTGTACGGTACAGGGTGTCCGCCTTCCAGGTTGCACAGTGGTTGCCTTTTGCATGTCAGGGAGCTCGATTTAATGGTATAATCGTTCAGTCATGTCAGCTCTCACTCGAAGTTGTTGGGTTTGGAGTTTTCGTGTCGCTCCCTGAGGCTCTTGGGATTTTCGAAGCTTAGACCAGGAGGGGAGTGCGGGGCTAAAAGAGACAGGTTTCGGTGCAACGCCTACCTCGGCATCAACAAGGACCTGCTCCAGTCCCTTGGGGATGCTGAGCAGAACAACCTGCAACATGGCCTTTGTCACAGAAGGTTTCATCTGGGTCTTCCGTCATGGGACTCCTCCTTTCTTCCTTCGCCTCTAATTCCCAGAGGGTTCTGATTCTTTGTTTCCTGGGGGTGGATTTCGAGTCCAAGGGGCTTAGTTATTGTCGTTTCAGGACTTGGTAGTACTTGGTGGTCGAGCTATTGCGATCGTGCCCGGAGGTCTTCTTCCACTGGTCGCTACAGCTCCTGTCCGGGAGTCGTGAGTGTTCATTGTCACAGCTTTGCAGACATGCATGTGATAGTCTTGTGGATGATAAATGGTGGTGGTGATGCGCATTCTTCGCTATCGAGTTGCCCCCTTGATCTGCATAGCGGAGCTTCCACAAGACAGGACATACTGTACTACTTAGCCGTGTGATGTCTGATGAACAACAAGCAGTACCCAGATATCCAGAACAGTAGAAATAGTAGTAAGCTTGTGAGAGCAACAACTACAGAAATTCGAACAACGGGACTAGCCCTGACTACGCATTCTGATACGTGGAATGCAAAACTCAGGTACACCCAGATTTTCAGCGCCCTTCTTCCGGCGTCAACGCTCCTGCTTCCAGCGTTCGACCTATGCATGTCGCGTGGAGGTTTCGTGATAAACAGCCACTCTTTCGGGTTTGGGGCGTCAGGATTTAAAGGTGAGGTATGACTGGATCGTTGATTGCGAGCTTAATCGCATTGTGATTTGGTAGTTTAGCGACGAGGCTTATCAATAACCTGTGGCATCTGTTGATGCTTTCCTTCGTCTGTCATGTCAAGCACTTGCATCTGTCCCACTCACAAATACGGCCGCAGCCGGTGCCACAGGTTGGTTCGTTTCTGACGGTGATGAGGATTGGGATGGTCATGGTGATTGTGACTGGTTACGACAGTCCTTTGGATGGCGGCATGTTGCGAATGATGTTCGATTTTGTCTCTGGGACACAAGCAGCGACATGAGCACGATAGTGCTCAACGGGGGGCAGCATGAGCGAAGCGCCACCACCACCGCCCGCCGCCACCGCCACCGCCACCGCCACCGCCACCGCCACCGCCACCGCCACCGCCACCGCCACCGCCACCGCCACTGCCAACCACCACCGAGCCGCCACCGTCACCGCCGCTGCCACTGCCACTGCACCAACAACAAATGACAGCAACACGTGCACCACCAGCAGCAACGGCAGCAACAACACTTGCAGCAAATGACGGCGGCAGCAGCAGTAGTATCAACGTCGGTAGCAGGGACAGCAACAGAAAAAAACATCACGAACCCTGGTGTCGATGACGCCTTCCAGCGCCCTGACAGAGGCTTTGTGTTCACCTTCGGCGTCGTTCTCTGTTTGGGACTGGTCTGGGGTGTGGTCACCCTCCTTCCCTCCCTTCAACTGCAGCTTGTGGCCTTCATCGCATTTACCAACTATCGAGCTCTGCTGCCACCTGGTCGCCCTTGGCAGTGACTTCTCCCTGGTCAGAGGTTGCAGGGTTTAGAGTTATGGAACGAGAACTGTTCTGGTTATATAGGATTCACTGTACTGGCGAGCCTTGCAAACGTCTGCCTGGAGGAGTGCTGGTTTTGATCTAGCAATATCTTCATGTCACTGGCAACCACGCTGTCACTAATCACGAATGCGCGCCCAAAACTTACTTATCGACCGGCTAAAAGTACCCAGTAGTGAATGACTCTTCGGCATTTGATCTCTCAGTGTTATGCCGGACCCTAGCATCAGACCAGCAGTCTAGGTGCTCGCATAGAAGTTAGCAGATTGTTGCGTGCAGGTATCCGTGCTACATGCATACCGTGCGCCTAGGTACCAGCTGCATATGCAACTCTAGCTAGCAGCTATAGCTGCCGTCGAAACGCCTCTGGCTTGAAAGCATTTCTGCAGCTGGAAGTTCGGAGTCTTCCGTGGTTAAGCCCTACGAAGCTTACCGCATGACCTAAAGTCTAAACCACCCCTGCACACTAAGGTTCGGCGTTTTCTTCACTTTTCTTGGCCACAGCTTTGGGAATCGAACCTTCGGGCGAATCAGCTGCCTGTGCTACGTGCTTTCGGCGAGCCTCTCCTGGACAATCTGGCCGTGCAGCAACGCGGGGGGGGGGGGGGGGGGGGGGGAGTAAATATACTTTGGTTTTAGGGTTCAAGGGTTGAGGGATGTGGTTTTGCATGAGTTTGGGAACATGCCATGAATCGTGGCTCTGACTCGTTCACTCGAATGGATACCTTACGGTCGATGGTCTAAGGTTCCTGTGATTCATGCCTCTTGCCTTGCTTACCGGGCAGAATAGCACTCTTCTTGTCAACCACCCGACGGTTGCAGCATTCTCAGGATGGAACAAGACAAAGCAACTGCCACACGTTGCATCATGACCATAAATGCCCTGAAACCCCGAAACCTTGAACTCTAAACCAGGCCCGGATCCTCAACGGGAAGCCCTAACCCCTAGACCATCCAGCCTGTCATGTGCCAGGCTTCCAAAGAGCTTACTGGTGACCTGACAGCCATGAAACTGGATGGCATTTTGGGATAATGCCTAACTTCCTTTGTTCTTATCGAGTAGTACTAGTCTAGCAAAGTATAGGAACATAGATATAGCATAGCACAGCACAGCTTGGTTCGAATAGTCTAGCAGAATCTAGCAGTATATTACTTAGTATCATATACCATTATACCATGCAGGCACCTATTCATGATGGGGGTCTTGACTCAGCCTTGACTTCATATTTCGTCCCAGGAATTGGTTCTTGCTGATCCTCGGGGTACTGCCAATCTGGATGGTTGTCCTCCTGGCACGACATCTCCGGAGATTCCCAGCAGGTGAGCTGTGTACACGCCAGAAGCCCATAAACAGCAAGGGCACTCCGGGCGAGCTGGACGAAGGAATTCCTGTTGACTTTGACTCCGTGCTCCTGGGCGCTTGTTAAGGAAGCTATCCGCTAATACGAAGTTACGTTATGCTACTATATCATAGTGAGCACATCATGTTGTTTCGGTGTTGTATCCCCATGATGGTAGCTGAGACAGAGTAGCCAGGATCTTTCACACCCTATACAAGCCCATTAACAAACCTTCCCGCTGCCCTGTATGGTACCTTAAGCGATAAGGGAGTTTCCGAAAATTGGGGGTACCTTATTTGGGGGTCCTGATAATAGGGGTCCTATTATTTAGGGTACCATATGAGGGTCCCCTGTTTTCGGAAACTCCCAGAAGTTCAAGACCCGAGGCTGGTGGACTTTACCCCAAATTCTTCGCCGAAAGGCGCCAATGGATGGAGAAACTGCCTCGGGGCATTTTTCTGCTGAGGCTCCTTTGAAGGGGAGACCTACAACCATAGCGTAAAGTAGATATGGCCGACAATTACGGGAGTTCTTAAGCCCATCGCTATGGCACCATTGCTGCTGTCATTACAGTAGCTTTCCATTCTCACAAATAGTCTGGTTGTTAATCCTTTACCGTGTCCTACACCATGATCGCTAAACCCTTATCCCCATGCTCTGGCTACTTCTTTTCCGCCACGGCCATGCGTCCTTTTCCATGCCGGTGGCTGCGAAGTAGAAACTCGGAGCCTCAAGGCGGTTTGTCAACATTAGGGACGCAAGTGGGGTGCCTTGGTTCGTGGTTCTCATGATTAGTGAGGATCATGCTATTGCGATCCTGTTTTTTCTGAAGCCTGCCTAAAAGCCGCACTTGCATGGCTTCCGGGGCTGGTGCAGAAGCCTTGGAGGAGGACGAAGTGCTTCCCAAGGCTGTTATGAAGTTAAGGAGAGGGCAGTGAACTCGCCGCCGCTCGGAAGGGGATCCAGCGCTGCAGTGAGGAATCCCTGGCCGTGCACTAGGGGGCGATTTTGCAACCCTCAGCGTGTCGCTACCTGCAGAAAATGCTTTGCTCAACCGGCTACCCCAAACTCTGAATCCTTAAACCCTAGTCATAGACATCCTAAACCTTGACTCCTTACTCACACAATCCTAACCCCTGAACCCTAAGCCGCCCTTCTGTCCCGTGTTCGGTTTGGGTCATTCGCACATTGACATTTGCATGCTGGCCGTGACTTCGAAGGTATCGTACGTGGAGCTGTAGTTACAGTCTCATAGATCCATAAACGCTACTCAAACACCACGGCCACTTTGTATTCTAAAGGTTCCGGTATAGGGCTTAGAGATTGGGACCCGTAGGAGGTCGACACGGGGCCGATGGTTGGGGTAATGTCGAGAATTGCTCGGATTTCGAACGCCAGGTAGAAGTATGAGCAGCGGTATCTTCACTATAGGCTATACCTTCACTTACACTCTAAACCCAAAACTCTATAGAGGTACAAACATAAGATACGAACCTGTTATGTCCCCATTACACACGACCGTCCTTGCAGGGGGGTATCTAAAGATTCCACACGTCCCTAATCCCCCAAACGCGTATCCTGAACCACGGCCCAAGGCCCTTTAGAGCCTTGTTGCGCTTGCTTTGCAAGGTGATCACAGGGCCACCGACGCCGTTTCCAACGCGGAGGCCTTGAGTTTAGGGCTTTTAGGGGGTTTGGGATTTAGGGTTTATTAGGGTTTAGGGTTTGCAGGGTTGAGGGCATGGTGGCTGTCGGGATCGATCAGGGCTTACCTCCGCAGCTTATGTTGTTTCGAATCTCCGCCAGCAACCTTGACTGAAACCTCGCAAGACTCCAAAACACTGAACCCCAAGCGCAGAAATCCCAATCCCCTCAAGCAAAAATTCCTCCAACACACCGAAATCCGAAAGCCGCCGTTGTCAAGAGACCCTTGTTTATGTTCCATCAGCATTTCGGCTGCAGCTTGGCCTCGGCTCCGCTCTCACAGCCATGGCTCTTCGCTGTCTGGTGACACTTGGGCTCTTGTTGGCTTAAGGTTTGCTGGCTTGGCAATCGTTTAGCCTTTTGGAGGTTGTAAAGAACTCCTGCCATGGTTTCAAGGCTGGCTTTTTCGGGCTAGGATACTCAGGCCGCCCCAAGTTCAGAACCCTCACTGTGCAGCAGCGTTGTGTCAGGGTCTTCAAGGCTCTTCACGGATTGAAAGAAACTTTAGAAGGGTTGTATAAGAAGGCCTCTAGGGGATTTTGAGTCTGGAGGGTTTCAGAACGGTTGCTATAAGGCACAGTAGCGGTGTCTAAAGGACTTTACGACGCCCTTCCAACTAACAATCAATCAGGATGGTCATGGTGCTGCAGTGCACCGAGGGGAGCTCGGGACTTCGAGGCCAGCCCCTGGCAGGCACCAAGAAGCTCTTTCTGATAGGGCATTGTCTTATAATTGTTGCTTTGCCGTCAAATGGGCTTAAGGCGTGGTGATTTTCGGGGATGTTCAGGATCTCCTTTTTATGAAAATCGTGGTTGGGCCACGAAATCGCAAGAATACTCAGGTCCGGGGACAGGGCGTCCAATAGCTCCACGCGCGTGCTTGGCGGAGGCTCAACTTCATCCTCGGTTTCTGGGATCCTCAGTGGTACCCTTTTGCCTTGTTGGAATTTGAGGGTTAGGGCTTAAGATGTACGGAGACTTTGGGCTTGTGAAAACTTGAGCAATATGACAAATTGAAGGGGCTACCGAGAGGCTAGAGATACGTTCAATCCCAGTACATATAATCACAGCATACAGGCACCACAGTCTTATTTGGTCCTAAGTACTCGGGCCCACATATTATTCGAGAGCCTAGGATTGGCTACACTGGACATGCTGCAACGGCTGTAGAACCAGCTTCTGCTCACCCGGAAGCGGTCGCTGCCATGACGAGAAGCCCAGATATCAATATACAGCGCTTGAGTTTTCGGGGGTCGTATGGTATGCACTTAGTGTGAAAGTTCACAGTGACCTAGTATTTCTTTGGATAATGTGGGAAGTAAGGAAGACGAAGCCTTACTACTTCGATTGCGACTGTTGCGGCTCCTGTGAATCGCAGTTCTGCTCCCCTCGAAGTGGCACCTGCTACACCTCGATGGAGAAGTACTACTACTTGGAGTGCGGTGTTCCCCCGCCGACTCCCGTTCAGCCCCAGCCGCAGCCGCAGCCACAGCCCCAGCCACAGCCTGCGAGTCAAGTTGAGGACGAGTCACAAGGAAACCAAGGTGGGCAAGGTGGCATTCCCCCGGAGAACGGCGAGCAAGGCGTGTACCATTTCTACGCTGGGCAGCACCTGTACTGCGAGCGCGAGGATCACGGCACATGGTTCATGTACAAGTGCCATGATGTCAGCGGCAAGACATGGTTCTGTTCCAGCGATTGGAAGAGCTGCAATCCTGTTTGATCCGCTCGAACACGGACGGGATGAAGGTCTGCCCATAGCATTGAAGTGAGGCGTCGCCTGCCCTTGAGGTGGTGTCTCATCTTGTTCATCTCCCTTGCTGATGAACAACTTTTGTCCCGCAGCATGCCCGGCCAGAGGTACCAAGTACCACGCAGGGCGGCCTTTATGTACAGATCTGTGAAGTGAGGTGCCCTGCACTTGGACTTCTTTGGCCTTGGCACGCTGTGTTCCTGCAACCGGGGAGAAACCCTGGTCGATGGCACCCTTTAGCCATACAGTCAGCCGAGAGCAGAGAAAGGACCCCAAGCGCCAGGGGCTCGGGGCAGTGTGGCCTTCTTATTTGGCCACGTCCCCTCCCAAGGTGTGGTGTGCCCCTTTTCGCCTTTTCAGATGGTGCCCCTGTCCCGCTCTGCGATTCTCCCTGTCCGGATGCATTGGCTGTCACGTGGGTTACTGCGTCGTCTCCCTCGTCCCCCTCCATGTAGTTTGGGTGGTGGGTTCTGTTCTGGTGCTTGGCGTTAAGAGTACTCCTGCTTTGATGTAGAAATGTCAGAAGCCCTTTGAGAAGATCATCAGACCACGCTCGGGAACTTTGCCCTTTGACCCCACTGTTACATCCTGAACCACAATATCTGAGGCTCGGTTGTCACTACTTGGGCTGACGACTTAGGGGGTTTGAAGCCCTTGACTCTTCTGCAACACCCCCAAAGCTGGAAACGAGCATCTTCCATTGCCGTCCACAGCAAAGACTTCAGCCTCTGAACCCCTTGCCTGGGCTAGATTCCCATCCGAGAGGTAGCTTCTGCGCAGTACAAATGTGGCCTCTTCAGAAGCAGAGGTATGACTTCGTGATGTTCGCACGTCCTGATCTTAGACCTTACTCTCAAATACCCCTAATTCCCAAATCCGGAATACCCAAGACCCTAAACCTAAAGCCCTCAATTACGGGTGATCGCTGGGCAACTGTGCCTTCCGTCCTAAGCGCATAGTCTGACTAAACCCTGGCAGAGCGATCTGAATAGGCGCGAATAGTATTTCCTGCCGTTAGACTGTAGTATATCCCCAACCCTACCATATTACCCTAAACAGAAGACACATACAACCATCGTTGGATTCTTATGAAACCCTTCCAAGATGCTCCTCCAAAACCCAGGTAAAAATCCTTTGTGGAATCCTACGAACCTTGAAGGCCTTGCAAAGTCCGACTCCGCAGGCCACGACTTGGTTGCAGCCCCGAGATCACAAGCAACAGAAGTTCGAAAATGATCGCGCAATCACTGAAAGAAGGGTTAGGGTGTAGGACTTTCGCATTAAGCGGGGCACTTCAGGGGCTTTGTAAGGGCTCTTAAGGCTTGAGGCTGTAGGCTCTCGGGTACAGGGCTTCGGGGCTTTTGGGGTCCAGAGGGCTCTCCGCTTTTGTGCTGGGGTCTATGTGGTTTGATTCATCGGGTCGGAGTATGCGGAGGTTTAGATGGTACAAGCACGTTGCCGATGTTGCATATTGCCTCGCTTGAACATCGATACTTCAGAACCCCACCTACAGTAGTAGTTCCGGTGAACCAACTCGGTAGTTCAGGCCAAAGATTGAAGCACAAGGTAACCAGAAGATGGGACTAAGTTAGGGACCCAAAGGTGAAACCCCAAGGGCCCCCGAACCAAGACCTTGAATCTGCTGCTCGACATGCTGCAGTCTCGGCTTCATGGAAGGTTCGCGAGCACGAGGTCACAATGGAGTCTGTCCTTCGGGCCACTGTGAGCCAGATTTGTAGATCTTTGGAGCCCTTTTAGGAACCCAATTATATCGAAGCTAATTATGTTCATGGCCAGAACTTCATGTCTTGCCACTCTGCAATCTGGAGTAGTTGCCATGCTTGGTGTATGTGAGTGTCCCCGAACACACGGTAGCCGACAAACTCCCAAGTCCGAGGCCAACCAGGCCCACCAGCTCAGCCATCATTATGAGTATTACTTGTATTATTATCATCATGACTAGTAGTCGTGATTGATGATCAACAGCCTCATCTCGGCTTATCCACCCCACTTCCCTTTCTTGAGCCTGCCGAATGAGTTAAGTCGGCGCAGCACAAGTGCGGGAGACCTAGCAGGGGAAGGGTCAGCTTTGGGGGAGTGCATTCGGATGCAAGGTTTAAAAGGGTTTCGGGTTGGGGTTCGATTTGGCTGTGTTCTCTTCAAGATGATGCCTGAAGATTTTCAGTCCTGGTCCTAAACCCCAGACCCAGGGCTCCCTTGACGCTGAGCGCTGGCCGCACGCCAGCCAAGCCGAGCTTCGTCAGCCGTAAACCCTGAACCTCTCATCCTAAAACCTGAAACCTTCCTGTAGCTTGTACCCTGCTCTGAGCCTTCGAAAGCCCGAGAACCCATAATCCAATGTTTAAGGTTTCGGCTTGGCGTTCGGAAATCATTTCAACATGACATAAGTGGTTCTTGAGATCTTCGTCGTCATGGCTCTGATCTCATCGCACTTCATGCTTAGTGACCACCATCGCAACCGCTGACTCTAAAACCGGCATGACGTTTCGATTTGGTCGTCATTATTTGCGTTCATTTCCCCTTTCAGAAGGAAGTGCGATCTCCAAGCAATCAGCCCTTACCCTGGGCTCTAACAAATGCTTTGAGGAGCGTTTCATAGACTGTAAAGGGGGCTCGGGTTTATCTGAGGTAGGCTGTAAATCTCTTTTTTGACTTATACGTGTAGGGCCCCTGCCGAACAGTGCATATGTGGCAATGCATCAATATACTCGTCACGAGAATCCGGGTCAGAATATCTTGCAATATCCTGCGCCATGACGACAACTTGTGGTCCTGTCAAGCGTCGGGCATAATATAGTGCTTCACTCACGTTCAATCATTATACGTTATTGTGATAGCATTCCTAAGAAGGCTCGAGCAAGGTTTATAATATGAGAAAGCCCGAAATGTTGTACACGCATACGGCCGCATACGTATTTGTAGAACCTGCATACACATGCATATCCGTGTGCATATGATTTTTCATGGTGCATATACACATAGGCGTTTGTGTACATAATTGTATGTACATACATACATACATACATACATACATACATACGCACATACATACATACATACATACATACATACATTATTCGTTCATACATACATACGTACATAAATACATACCAATACATGTACATGTATATGCACACTTATATAGGCACATGTGCATATACATATACATATGCATATGCATGTATATACATATACATATACATACAGATGCATATACATATCCATATCCATATGTGGATGCGGATGCAGATGCAGATGCATACATACTGGTGTATATATGTATCAGTACATTATACACGTATGCGTGTGTGGGTATTCATTCGTAGTGTTTGCCCGCAAAGGTCAATGCCGGAGGATGGTTTGAGCCAGGTGGTGTTCCGAGATCTGAGTCCGGTGAGAAAGAAGGTCTAAGAAATAAAGAACCCCCCCTCCACAACTGCGGTTTAGGGATGCGAAGGGCTTAGGGTTTAGGATTCAGAAGCTGTGATGATGCGGGGCTCCGCGACTCCAGCAGCTGCGGTTTAGAGTTGTTTCTAGAATTTTGGATTCATAACTTGGGAGAAAACAGGATGCTCTTAATCAGGCACTTCTAGAAACGGCACCCTAAGTTTGACAGACGCAGGTATGCAAGATGCACTAGAGCGACGAAGGGACATTCAGTTTGAAGGGTTCACCGAGCTCCTTTCAAGCAGTAGAGAAAGGTCCTGTTTCGCGCCTCTTCAGATTCCAGACGGGTTCAAGACGTGAGGCTTGCTGAAACGCAGCTTTACACGGAAGAGAGCAGTTGTTGACTATGGACCCGGAACGGCAACTGAGGTCCTAACTTCAGGATGCGAGAGTCGGTTCCTTGCCCGAATCCCCTAATTCTCACAAATGAATAGGGTTTGCGGCTTTGGGATTCATGGTTCAGGATTCAGGTTTAGGACGTAGGGTTATCATTGGGAGTGAAGCCCGGTGGGCACAAAAGTGCTTGGGGTTCAGAATTTCCAGGGCAGAAGAGTCTGCAGAGGAGAGCGGTCGGGGAGGGGGACACCTGTGGACGGCATCACGATAGTCTTTCAGCTGTGCATTGTTCGTGATTATCGTCACTGGGCTTGTTCGTGCAAGGAGCAGTTGCTTGCTTGTTGTGACACGTAGCTTTGCCTACAAGCATGCGAATTTACAGTGCGAATGTGTGGGTGTATAGGTACATACACAGCATATACACCGATACACAGCGTGAAAACCAACATGTCGATGATGATGATGATGGCGATGAGGATGATGATGGTTGTGGTTAAAGGCTTCTTCTTGCCACTCGCCACACAGGTCTGAAAGCACTGAACTCTCACAGATCCCCACCTTTCCGCCCGTGGCTCCAGCAAAGACGCAGCCTCCGTGACCGAAGCCATGAGATGCGCGCTTCCGTCGTCGCTTCTCCTTCTGACTGCCCTGGTGGCTAAGGCTTTCGGAGCGGAGTCTGTAGAGCTTTGGCGGCTCTTTTGGGATGCTTTCAGGGGTCTGTGGTTCTGTAAGGACAGGAGCAGAGCCCACAGCCCATTTGCGGCTTCAATTTACCATGGTTGTGGAAATCAGGTCACGCGATTCAATAAAAGTTGCCCTTACTCGCTGTTGTGTGGCGGAGTTTGGGCTACAACAGTCAAAACCTGATGCTGAGTGTAAGTCTGACGCATAAGCTTCACTGTCATCTCCCTTTTACTGACGGCTTTCGATGTAACCTTTTGGTTCGAGTTGTTTGTGGTTCATGAGCTCAGGTGCCTGAGTTTTAGGTTTTTGCTAGAAATGACAAGAGCTTACGGTTGGCAGGGGTCTAGGCTTTACGGTTTATGAGATGCAGGGATGTGAATATGTGGGGCTGAAACACCCGGGCTCCTGGTTTGTCCGACTTTACTTGGCTAGGCTGCTTGGATTCGGCTTCCCGGATCGGATGCTACGCCAGTTGACTTGCT